GCAGTTCATAAGCATGATGATTCGGTGTTCACATTCAAGTGTGGGATGTGCCATCCTCAAACCTTGCCACAATGTCAGCACTTTGCCCATCTGACATGAAAAGAAATCGTAGATAAATAGTTCTCACATTTCCCTTCTACACTCTCATGGATCCCTATGGGTATGCAACGCTGTGGAGACCACCACTTGGACCCTGAAAGCTGTAGGGATTGGAAGACGGGGACCTAAAGAAGTAACAGTTAGTTCATTTCTCCTGCTCTTCCACTCCTGACAAGTTCTCAATTCCTCTCCCAAAGCAGCCACTATAAAGAGTTGCTTTTTTTTTCCTTTCGCTGTGTATTTTTTGTTTAATAAACAAACCGCCTAGCAAAATTATGAACTAAATAGATGGTTGTTTTAAGCCATTGCGTTTTGAGTTGGTTTGTTATGCAGCACAAAATTAATAAAATTTATTCTAAAGAAACAGATTAGTAGTTCCTGTGCACCAGACCCTGTTTTCGGCACTTGGGGACAAATATGACAAATAAGGCTGCCCACGTGGGACTTTACATTCTGTTAGGGGAAACGGCTAATAAAAAACTAAATATTAAATAAGGCCAGGCATGGTGGTGCACATCTGTAATCCCAACATTTTGGGAGGCCATAGAGGGTGAATCACTTGAGCCCAGGAGTTTTAGACCAGCCTGGGCATAAAAACAAGACCTCATCCTTACTTTAAAAAAAAAAAAAAAAAAAGGAAGGCCAGCAACAGCAACAATAGCAGTGACTCCCTTTCTTGTGTTTGTGTTCCTTTGCTCTGTGACTCTGAGTGTACTTTCTACTTTGGCTCTGACCTTGACCATGTGACTTGCTTTGACCAATGAAATATGACACAGTAGAGGCTTGAAGAGTCCCTGTGGTTTGGGCTCTTGGACCTCTGCTGTCATGTGATGAACTAGGCTCACCTTCTTGATGAGGAGAGAAGCATAGTCCAGTCATCCCATCACCGCAGCCAACACCGAGACACGTGTCAGGCATTTGACTGAGGCCATCTGGAACCAGTCAGCCCCAGCTAAACTGCCAACTGACCACAGATGCATGAGTGAGCCTAGCTAAGATCAGCCAGAAGAACCGCCTAGCAAAATTATGAACTAAATAGATGGTTGTTTTAAGCCATTGCGTTTTGAGTTGGTTTGTTATGCAGCACAAAATAATGGATACAAGCTGCAGCATGAACCAGATACCATGCTGAGATGTCTCTTTACCATCATCCTGGGGCTGTCCTCTGCTTTTTTCCTGTATTGGATCTCATATTTCTAGTAATCCATGTCTTCCTCTTGCTTGGTTTCCTTCAGTGACTTCCCAAGAAAGAGTACATGAGCAGTAAATTAATTGTATGAAATCTTGCATGTCTGAAAATGTCTTTTTTAAAAATTTTTTCCGATTCTTATGTTTAAGTGCTAGTTTAGTTGGGAGTAGAATTCTAGGTCATTAACTATTTTCTCTTAACATTTTGAAAACCTTTCTCCATTGCTTTGTAGCCAGTACTCCTGTTCACAAGTTAAAAGTCTATGCCAAAAGATGATGAGATCACCACTTAGTATCTGAAATAAAAGGACAAAGCTGAATTTACTCCTTGCTCCAGTGAGAGCTATGATGCTCAGAAACAGTCTTTCCATGCAGAGCAGACTACTAGAGTTTTGAGGAAGCATGATGAGTTCAGGGAGTTCAGAGACTGCAGTAGGATGTTATCATTTGCAGAATCACAATTCCTTAGGGGACACTTCGTTGATTGTTCACCACTCAAAGGTGTTTTTACAGGAGTGAGTTCATCTACCACTGGCTGTTTTTCAGAAACAAAGACCTGATCTGATGAGTTGGCTTGTAAAAGTGTGTACATTGAGGGGAATTGTGTTGATTGATTACATGGGTTTAAAACCAGTTTTTGATAGCTACTTCTTATTATGACTACAGAACAATTGCCTTTCTCTAAGTTTTGGGGAACATTTTTATTCTCATAAATTGCTGATCCTGTGTATATGACTTGTATATTTTTCCCCTTTCTACAATCTTGCAGGATCTTCTCTTTGCCTTCAATGCTTGAAATTTCACAATGTGTGCATTAGCCTAAGACTGTATTCACTTAATACATTTTTCTGTCTGGAAATTCAGATTATTAACTTCTCTTCATTTTTTTTTCTTTTGGGTGCTCTATTAGTCCATTTTCCTGCTGCTGATAAAGACGTACTCAAGACTGGGCAATTCACAAAAGACAGAGGTTTAATTGGACTTACAGTCCACATGGCTGAGGAGGCCTCACAATCATGGCTGAAGGTGAGGAGGAGCAAGTCACATCTTACATGGATGGCAGCAGGCAAAAAAAAAAGAGCTTGTGCAGAGAAACTCCCATTTTTTAAAACCATCAGATCTCGTGAGATCCATTCACTATCACAAGAACAGCATGAGAAAGACCTATCCCCATGATTCAGCGTCTCCCACTGGCTCCCTCCCACAACACATGGGAATTATGGGAGCTACAAGATGAGATTTGGGTGTGGACACAGAGCCAGACAATGTCAGACGCTAACACCCTTGACCAATTTCCTAATTGTCTTACATTTGTATCTCCTATTTTCCATCCCCTTTTCTTTTTGCTGGAAAAATTCTCCACTTTATATTCTGAACTTTCTATTGAAAATATTAATTTCTAGTCAGGTGGATTGGCTCACATCTATTATCCCAGCACTTTGGGAGGCTGTGGCTGTAGGATCACTTGAGCTCATGAGTTTGACACCAACTAAGGCAACATAGTAAGACTCATTTCTACAAAACATAAAAAAAATTAGGCGGGCATAGTGGCATGTACTTGTAGTCCCAGCTACTCAGAGAGCTTAGGTGGGAGAATTGCTTAAATCCAGGAGGTCCAGGCTGCAGTGAGCTATGATCATGCCATTGCACTCCAGCCTGGGTAACTGAGAAGGATCCTGTCTCAAAAAAAGAAACAAAGAAAGAAAATAAAATATTCCTTTCTGCTACATATTTAATTTTCAAGACCTTCTGTATGCGTTTTGTTCCATTTATTTATTTGCTTATTTATTTTTGCATAGAATTATTTTCTTGTTTTGTGGTTATAGTAGCTTCTCTTTGTGAGATGTTTGACTTTTATTTTATCTTTATTTCCTTGACATTAATTTTTTTTCTTTATTCATTTTCTATCTTCCGAGTTAAAGGCTTTCCTCACATATCTTATCATCTTTGTATCTGATAATATTTAAGGGTGAGATGCTGAAACACTGGCTGGAAGTCCTGAGAATATGAGAGCTGGGCTGGTCTGATGTGGGTTTCACTGTAAGAGCATCAGGGTGGGCTGGGTCTACTGAGGGAACTTCTGATGTCAATATCTTTCCAAGGTCAGGTATTTCATAATGGACCAAGCATATTTCCCAGAGAAGACTCCATGTCCTGCCTGGAGGGTGAAGGTCTAACTTTCAGTGTTCTTGGCCCAGAGAAGGAAAAGATGGATATAGTATGGGGTATCCCAGAAGCTAATATGCATAAATTCACTTAATCCTCTATTTTTAGTACAGTTCTCTCACACTCAACTGCACTGGTGTTCTTCTAATGTAGAACCATCTATTTTACTCCATTCTGAAAATAAGCTATCACTCTTTTGCCAGTTAAGGAAGGTGCAGTCTCTGGGATGCTGCACAGATCTGGGGAGAAGGCTAGGGATCCAATCCAATTCCTCCTAAAGAATACTTCCAAACAATCCTCCTTATTTAGTCCATATCCCTTTTACCCTCACTTCTTCAGGGACCTGCTGCCATTAGTTTCCAAGTCTTCAGATATGCTATAAATCAGATTAGTTTTTAGTTTTCTCTTCTGCCTGATGGGATTTAAACTTCTCAGATCTGCTCATTCTATCACTATGTATTCATCCGTTTTCCAGCTTCCAAAATTGTCCCTTCTTCAGCTCTCGCCATCTATTGGGTTTAAGCCTTAAAATATCTATTTACTGGTAGTTTAACTGGGATTCCTGGAAGTCAACAATATAAAAGTGTATGTTAATCTCCTACCTTTACACAAAGCTTGCTTTTCATTTTCCATTTATGGGAAGTGTGTTAATGGCTTCATAATTGAATCTAGCTTATAATTTGTTTGTGATAGATCTAAAACTGGTTAATGAAAGATGGCTTCAATTATAGTAGGCTTAAAGCAATGTCTTTCTCCTTAAAAATATAGAAAAGAAAAAGCAACTCAGCACTAACCCAGTGAAGGGGGATACAGATAAGTCAAGATTTGTGTATGGGGGATGGGCACGGTGGATCATGCCTGTAATCCTAGCACTTTGGGATGCCAACGTGGGTGGATCAACTGAGGTCAGGATTTCAAGACCAGCCTAGCCAACATGGTGAAACTCTGTCTCTACTAAAAATACAAAAATTAGCCGGGTATGGTGGCACATGCCTGTAATCCCAGCTACTCAGGAGACTGAGGCATGAGAATCACTTGAACCTGGGGGCGGAGGTGGCAGTGAGCCGAGATCACACCATTGTACTCCAGCCTGGGCGATAGACTGAGACTCTGTCTCAGAAACAAAAACAAAAGTTAAACAAGAGATTTGTGTATGGGAATATTCTTTCCATGCGTTTGTATGCCCTTGCTAAAATGCAGGTTGCATAACAGCCTTAATAAGAAAATTCCTAAGCCTGTGTAAACTTGTGGGAGGGGTGTAGTCACGCATAATCTCACACTGAAATCTGCCAAGGCAGTGAATACTATAGAATTCACAACTTCAGTTTTCATTTTGCCCCACAACTCAGAGCTGGAAACATATGTGCTTATGAATCTTTGTCAAGTTAATCACTTTTTCCTTTTGCACCAAAAATTTAAAACAGACTTCTTAACAACTGTCGCTAGCGTAATCTGTTTACTAATCATATGATAAATCACACTTGAGGTAAGTTACTGTTGTTCTGCAAGTTCCTGCTACTCTGTTAATTGCCGTCATTTTTTTCCAGAGTTGTGCTCTCCTGCAGCCTTTTGAGGATGGCTGGCTTCCATACCCAGAATCAATCACACCACGACACTGAAAAAACAAAAATAAACAGGAAAGTAAGTAGAATCAGGTATTTCATCTCTTTGTGAAACGTCTTCTCATTCTTGGCCCGAAACCATTGTTTACCTTCCCAACCTTAAGAAAATCTTTCCTGCATTCTGCCACTTCTTGAAAGTTACCTTTGACTTCCCGGTGGTCTTCTCTCACTTCCATTCTCTTTCAGCCCTGGCGGCATTTGTGAAGATGGCTCAGACCCTCTTTACTGACAGATAACTTATAAAACAACTTACACATCATGAGCCCCCGTAGACAAACTTCATTTCCCACCTCGAACAAACCCAAAGCTTTCCTCCTTTAACTATATCCTAATTGGTAATGACAAAAGCATATATTGAACAATGACTTACATATTGTGCTAAGAACTTTACATATATTAACTCTTTTCACCATCACAGTGACACTGTGAAATACAATCTATTGTTATACCCATTTTTATAAATAAGAAAATAGAATCCAGAGAGTTTATGTAATCTGCTCAAGGAAAAACATTGGTCAGTGGCATGCCGTTTGGTAACTGGTACCACCAACCATGAAGTCAGTTGTCCTCACCGGAAACTTAATAATCAGGATTAATTGCTTTCTTTCCCTTTCCCTCCACATTCTTACCATCTCAGGCCAAGCTACCACCATGTCTCACCCAGACCACCGCACCATCCTTCCAACTATTTCCATTAATGTTCCTTTATAGACTATTCTCCATATAAATGACATATGAATTTGATAAATCCATAATCATAATGAGAGATTTTTAAAAATCTTTTTTTTTTTTTTTTTTTGAGATGGAGTTTCACTCTTGTTGCCCAGACAGGAGTGCAATGGTGCTATCTGGGCTCACTGCAACTTCCGCCTCCCAGGTTCAAGCGATTCTCCTGCCTCAGCCTCCTGAGTAGCTGGGATTACAGGCATGCGCCACCACACCCGACTAATGTTGTATTTTTAGTAGAGACAGGGTTTCTCCATGTTGGTTAGGCTGGTCTCAAACTCCCGACCTCAGGTGATCTGCCCGCCTCGGACCCCCAAAGTGCTGGGATTATAAGCATGAGCCACTGAGCCCGGCTGGTAAAAACCTCTTTCAAAAACTGACTTCATGCAGACAAAATAGTCATATGACTCAAAAACATTTATTTTTATTGTGCAAATAACACAATTAATGATCCAAATCTTATGGAAATATGTGGAACACTACACACACACACACACACACACAAAAAAAAAGAATACACAACAACACTTAAAACATTTACAAAAATTGGCTGGGCATGGTGGCTCACACCTGTAATCCCAGCACTTTGGGAGGCCGAGGCAGGCGGACCACTTGAGGTCAGGCGTTTGAGACCAGCCTGGCCAACATGGTGAAACCTCACCTCGACTGAAAATAAAAAATTAGCCAGGAGTGGTGTCACATGCCGGTAGTCCCAGCTACTCAGGAGGCTGAGGCAGGAGAATAGCTTAACCTGGGAGGTGGAGGTTGCAGTGAGCCGAGATTGCGCCATTGCATTCCAGCCTGGGTGACAGAGCAAGACTCCATCTCAAAAAAAAAAAAAAATTTTTTTTGCAAAAATTGACTATGTCTTATGTCTTACAGTGAGTCAACAAACACCACAGTCATTATTATATAGATCACATTCCCTTATCACAATATAATAGAGTTACAAATCAGGAACAAAAAGATAGTTAACCCCTCTGTGCGTTAACTCTTCTTTACTCTTCCCTCTATAAAAAGGAACTAGCATTTTCCAGCTCTCTTGGTCGCTGGCAACCTGGTAGGCTCTGCAATGGGAAGCACTGACTGCAACGTGGGGCGGCACAGGGGGAAAAGGCAAAATGTTCTCCACTTCCTGTGGATTGCTATGGGGGCACAGGGAGAGGATTCCTTACAGAGAAATTCATATCCCAAAAGGCAAGTTCTGGTTTTGAGCCTCCTCCTCGTTTTGCTGACTTCTTTGCACTTTGTTCACCAATCTAACTTTTTACCTTTCTTTCACCGTTTCTGTATAATTCCTTGATTGATTGATTGATTGATTGATTTTTTGAGATGGAGTTTCGCTCTTGTCGCCCAGGTTGGAGTGCAATGGCACAATCTCGGCTCACTGCAACCTCCACCGCCCAGGTTCAAGTTATGTTCCTGCCTCAGCCTCCCGAGTAGCTGGGATTACAGGCATGTGCCACCATGCCCGACTAATTTTTGTATTTCTAGCAGAGACAGGGTTTCACCATGTTGGCCAGTCTAGTCTCGAACTCCTGACCTCAGTTGATCCACCTGTCTCAGCCTCCCAAAGTGCTGGGATTACAGGCGTGAGCCACTCTGCCTGGCCCCAATTCCTTGATGTTTGAAGAATCTGTAGCTCTGTTAGGAGCCTCCACTTGTCCTACCATCACCCGGTCTATATAATAATGACTGTGGTGTTCGTTGACTCACTTTGAGACATAAGACATAGTCAATTTTTGTAAACTTTTTTTTTGAGATGGAGTCTTGCTCTTTCGCCCAGGCTGGAATGCAATGGCGCGATCTCAGCTCACTGCAACCTCCGCCTCCTTCGTGTCGGCCTCATAAACTTTATGCCAACAGATAGACTCTAAAACGTCTGTCTCTTGCCTTGACTTTTCTGTTGACCTTCTTTCCCATGTTTATAACTGCGTACAGGACATCTCCACTTTACATTTTCAGAACGCCAAATTTTACATGGATAAAACTAAATTTATCGTCTGCCTCCCCACTCTCTAGAACATGTTGTTCCTAATGCGGCACTTGACCCTAGCACTTTCCCACAAACACCCATCCTGGAAATCTCAGATACCGTCGGGGTACTGACTGCATCTCTGTCATTAATGGCTTTTGTTCCAAGCCCAGAGCCTGACAGGTATGTAAAGATTTTTCAAATGATTGTTAGACTCCTTTCTCTTTCTCATTTCCAGTCCCTTTCTTATTTATTTATTTATTTATTTATTTATTTATTTATTGAGACAGAGTTTAGCTCTTGTTGCCCAGGCTGGAGTGCAGTGGAACAATCTCAGCTTACTGCAACCTCCGCCTCCCAGGTTCAAGTGATTCTCCTGTCTCAGCCTCCTGAGGAGTTGGGATTACAGGCACCCGCTGCTATGCCTGGCTAATTTTTGGTATTTTTAGTAATAACGGGGTTTCACCATGTTGGCCAAGCTGGTTTCAAACTCCTGACCTCAGCTGATCCGCCCACCTCGGCCTCCCAAAGTGCTGAGATTACAGGCATGAGCCACCGCTCCCGGCCTCCAATTTTTATACCTCTGTAATGCCCTCTCAAATCCCTTCTCCTCTTTCTATTTCGTTGTGACTAGTCCTCTGGCTGCTCGCCTGGAAAGGCAGTGGAGAGGGTTGTAACTCTGAGAGTTGAATTATAACTAATCTAATGACGGTGTTTAACAAAAGCCGTGTTAAAGGCAAAGTGCTTCTGTTTCAAAAATTCTCTCAAACCCAGTTTCCTCTTGGCAACAATCAGCAACCACAGCAACAATCAGCAACACAGAAGAAGACTTCTTTGACTAAATATGTGGGGAATTTCCTGACTCACGTAGCAGCAGACACCAGCTGGATGTCCTCCAGTTCAATTCTGACACCATCTACCTGGAGATAGCATCAGATTCTATTGGTTTGGGGCTTAGTCCCCAAAACTGCCCATTCCACAGACACCCGTTGCAAATCTGGGCCTCTGGAACTTCCGACCAACCAGCTTCAAGTTGGGGTTCCCACACCTTCTCTTTGTGTTGGGTTAATTTGCTAGAGCAGCTCACAGAACTCAGGAAAACACTTAAGTTTACTGGTTTGTTATAAAGGACTTTACAAAGGACACAGATGGAGAGATGCATAGGGTGAGGTATGGGGAAAGAGGCGTGGAACTCCCATCCCCTCCCTGGGTCGCCACTGCCCAGGAACCTCCATGTGTTCAACTATCTGGAAGCTCCCTGAATCCAGTCCTCTTGGGTTTTTATGGAAGCTTCATGATGCCAGCATTCCTTCCCCCAGCTTACAGGGCAAGACCATCTCTGGAGAGGATCTTAAGACCCATAGTCAGAAAGGTGGGGTAAGATTAGAGTCCTGTCTTGGGGAAGGTGAAAGAAAGGCAGGAAAAGGTCAGAGAGATTCTGTTTTCTCAATCTGCTCCTGAGGCCTAACACACCCAACCTTATAATGAAAGATTGTAACGAGGGCTCTGGGAGACACGGTCCAGGAACTGTGGACAGAAATGTGTGTGTGTGTGTGTGTGTGTAACACACACACATAGCTTCTTTTTTTTTTTTTGAGACAGAGTCTTGCTCTGTCACCCAGGCTGGAGTGCAGTGGCCGGATCTCAGCTCACTGCAAGCTCCGCCACCCGGGTTCATGCCATTCTCCTGCCTAGCCTCCTGAGTAGCTGGGACTACAGGCGCCCGCCACCTCGCCCGGCTAGTTTTTTGTATTTTTTAGTAGAGACGGGGTTTCACCATGTTAGCCAGGATGGTCTCGATCTCCTGACCTCGTGATCCACCCGCCTCGGCCTCCCAAAGTGCTGGGATTACAGGCTTGAGCCACCGCGCCCGGCCACACCATAGCTTCTTAGCCAGCAAGAAGAGGAGGCCGACCTGACTGTAATGTCTTAATGCTGTTAACACAACTGAGAAAAAAATGTTTCAATCAGATGGGGCATTGGCAATTGGAAAACAACAGCAAAGGCTAAGGCCAGCGGGTCTGGTCAAGTTAGTTCAGGATGCCTCTCTGTAGTGATTATTTTGTTGGATTTAACTTCTCTAGAACCAGTGTAACCAGTCTCTACATTTCTGGCAATCCCACACCGTTCCTTCAGTGATCCAGGCTCAAAATGTATAGATGATGGCTGGCTCTTCTTCCCCTGGAGTCCTCATTGTCTACTTGACTGAACCTTTTTGATGCTTACTCATTTTTTTTCTCTTCCCTCCTCCCAGCCAACCATAATTTCAGGTGCTTATTAAAACACACCCAGATTAATCCTCCAATTAGACCTCTGTG